TATGGTGTCACAGCTCACAGCAACCTCAAACTCTTGGGCTTAAGCGATTCTCTTGCCTTAGCCTCCTGAGTAGCTGGGACTACAGGCACCTGCTACAACACCCAGCTATTTTCTTGTTGCAGTCGTCATTGTTGTTTAGCTGGCCCAGGCTGGGTTTGAACCTGCCAGCCTCAGTGCATATGGCTCACACCACAACCACTGTGCTACAGGCACTGAGTCATATCTTTGAAAAGTTTTATCATTTTGGCCAGGCATAGTGGCTCACACCTTTAGTAATCCTAGCACTGTGGGAGGCCATGGAGGGTGGATTGCCTGAGGTCACAGTTCAAGACCAGCCTGAATGAGAACGAGACCCCATCTCTAAGCATAGCTGAGCATTGTGGTGGGCGCCTGTATTCCCAGCTACTTGAGAGGCTGAGGCAAGAGAATCACTTGAGCCCAAGAGTTTGAGGTTGCTGTGAGCTGATGCCATAGCACTCTACCAATGGTGACAAAGTGAGACTCTTTCTCAACAGAAGAAAAAAGTTTTATTATTTTTTAAACAACATTTACTGAAAGCACCCCAAATTGCTTTGGAAGTTTCTTTCTTTAGGCCTTCCTCAACTGTCTTGCCTCTGTGAGGGCCTGTTTAGGTCTCCATAAGAACAGTGAAGCTGAGGGACCTCCCCGGGGGTTGGCATCTACTTTACATTGCTCGTGGGCCTTAAGGAAGAAAGCTTTTGAACAGGCAGTGAATGTGCAACAAAAGTTCCTGGAATTTTATTTTTTAACAGATCCTGGATGAATCTGAATTTTTTTTTAATGCTCTAATTGTATTTTGCTTTGTGGGAAAATCTATAATAATGAAACTTTTTCCCTTTGAATCTCAAGTACAGGTAGCCCCTAGGCCAGTAATCAAAGAACTTATCATCCGCTCTTAATTCTATATTTACTTATCTGATTAACTTTTTTTCTTGTTTTTCTCTGACTTTTCATATAATAATCATTTTTAAAGTGTCAGAGATATTTGTTAGAAGCTTCTCTACCTGGCTTTTTGGAGCACTAGGGTATCTTGCATAAGGAGGAATTCTGTTTGAAATGAAGGTTGTCTGCTGTAAAGAAAGAGAATTCTTTCATTAGGAACTTAAAAAAAAGTTAACAGCATTTCATTATTGAGTAACCTCCAAGTTTGGCCCACATGCATGCATCATAGGACCTCGTTCACAGTTAGTTTCTGTGGGGAGAGCCGCTTCACCTTATTCTGTGGTCTCACTTCTCAGTGTTTGAATTCCCTCAGAATGCACCTTATAATTTCGGGAGATGTAAGCGTGTAGGAGTTTATTTATGAAAGGCCCTAGGAATCCAAACACACAAATCTGTGCTTATTTATCTTCCGTGTAGCTGACGACCAGAGAAGTCCTTTGACGTCTAGTTTGTGACTGAGTATATAAGATTCTACTATTTAAAGAAAACAGCTGTAATTTTGAAAAGAAGCTCACTCTTAGGAAGTTTATATTCCTTAGTAAAGTATGGCTATAATAGATAATTATATAACGTTTGATTTTTTTTTTTACCCTTTGTGACTTTAGCCTTAGTTGTATGTGTTGTAGAAAATTAATATATAAAGATGTCTGTTGGATGTCTCAGTGCTTTCTTTCCCACCCTCTTTCACTGAGTTTAATTGTGGGCAATTGCATACTAGTTTTGAGGTTAGTAATTAAGTGAAGTTCATTGATACTTAGAAAATTATTTTGTGAAGAATACTAGCTGATATGTGTTACATAGGGAGGCATTCAATCCAAAAAATGAAAACTCAGTCTTTCTGAACAGTGTTTTTTAATACAATTTTACCCTCATAGACTTGAAACAAGTTTTTTAAAAGGCCCTCAGTTAAATCAGTTTTTTCTTTCCATGAATTTACTTGGGTAGCATAAATACATAAGCAGGTCTTTAAAAGAGAAATCTTGGGTGGCGCCTGTGGCTCAAAGGAGTAGGGCACCAGCCCCATATGCTGGAGGTGGTGGGTTCAAACCCAGCCCCGGCCAAAAACTGGATTTTAAAGAAATATTCTTTTGCTACCGTTTTTCTAGTTCTGGGTATTTTTATAGTACTTTACAACAGTAGTGAGAACCCTTTTATTAATAAATTTTATTAATCTCATAGGAAAGTAATTAGTGATCATCTTCAAGAAAAAGTTAATGTTTCATTCCTTAGTCAAAAGAATGAAATATAAAAATTCAACTCATATGCTTTTGAAACTGAGACCAGAGAAATAAAATCTGATTCAACATGTGTAAGACTAATTTATTTATTTTTATTCTTTTTTTTTTTTTGAGACAGAGTCTTTGTCACCCTCGGTAGAGTGCCATAGTGTCATAGCTCACACAGCAACCTCAAACTCTTGGGCTCAAGTGATTCTCTTGCCTCAGCCTCCTGAGTAGCAAGGACTACAGGCACCCACCGCAACACCCAGCTATTTTTAGAGACAAGGTCTCGCTCTGACTCTGCCTGGTCTCCAACCTGTGAGCTCAGGCAGTCCACCCACT